TGTTTAAATTCAAAGATAAATAGTTGAAGGCTAATGGATTTTGTGAGAAGGTTGAAGGATGGTGGAGTAAAGTTGTGGTGAACGGTAAAATCAATTTCAGAAGAGCACAGAAGATAAAGGCAACGAAGAATGCAATCAACCAGTGGTCCAAAGTGGAGGAGATGAGGAAGGAAGAGTACACGAAAACATTGTTTTAGGAGATTGAGACTTTGACAGGAGAGAGGGTGAGGTAGGCTTGTCAACTATTGAGCGGGCTAGAAGGGAGTCAATGAAGATTGAGTTGGCTAGCCGATTACAAATAGAGGAGCTCTTGTGAAGATAAAAACCGAGAGCTGCGTGGATAAAAGGGGGAGATAGAAACACCAAATTCTTTCATTGTATGAATAATCATAGAAAGACCAACTACGTGGAGGAAATAGTGATTGAGGACAGGACGGTGAAGGGCAATGAGCAGTTGAAGCAAGAGGTTAAAGATTTCTTTTGTAGCTTATATTGAGAGGAATTCAATTGGAGACCTAAGCTTTGATGGTGTTAGTTTTAGAGTCTTGGGTGAAAGGAGTCGTGAGTCGTTAGAAAGAGAATTCACAAAGAAGAAAATATGAGTTATCTCAAAAAAAGAAGAAAATATATGAGGGACTTATGCACTAAATTAAGGATAAAGCTCTAGGATATGATGGCTTTAATATGTTTGCAAAAACTATATTTATCATAAAAGTGGATATCTTAGAGACCTTTAAAGAATTATATGAAACAGGGACTTCTGTGAAATCTTTAAATTCGACCTTCTATCAATTTAGTCAGCAGTGTGTATTGTGAAGGTATTAAATAGGCATATACTAAAGGTGTTGAGGGAAGTAATAGGAGAATATTAGAAAACGTTTATGGAAGGAAGACAAATCACGAATGCAGTTTTGATAACTAATGAAGTTGTTGATGAGTTACTATAGCAAAATAAAGACGGGGTTCTATGCAAGCTTGATAAGGAGAAAACAGATGATCATGTTAACTGGGGTTTCATTGGTTATATGTTAGCGAGATTGGGATGTGGAGGGAAGTGGCGCAAAATAGATTAATTCATGCATCACAACGACATCTTTCACGGTATTAGTGAATTGAGGCCTATCATCATTCTTTAAGGCTACAAGAGTTCTTAGACAAGGAGATTTGTTATCTCTACTGCTGTTTATCATTGTTATGGAAGTTCTGAATAAACTTATTTAAAGGACTAAAGGAGAAAACAGATGGTCATGTTAACTGGGGTTTCATTGATTATATGTTAGCGAGATTGGGATGTGGAGGGAAGTTGCAGAAAATGGATTAATTCATGCATCACAACGACATCTTTCGCAGTTTTAGTGAATGGAGGCCTATCGTCATTTTTTTAAGGCAACAAGAGGTCTTAGACAGGAAGATTTGTTATCTCTACTGCTGTTATTGTTGTTATGGAAGTTTTGAATAAGTTGATGTTGAAAACTAAGTGAGGTTATTTAGAGGACTAAAGGTGGATGCTAGAGAGCAAGCAGAGGAGATTCCTCATCTTTTATCCGCAGATGATACATTAGTTTTTTTATGACTGAATGAGAATGCGTTACTTAATTTAAGATGTGTCTTATTGTGTTTTCAAACGGTTCCAAGACTTGAGATTAACCTTGTTAAATCAGAGTTGGTGAGATTGGGTAGGGGCAAATACAGCAAGATTGGCTGAAGTTTGGGATGCAAGGTATTGAAGCTTTCAATTTAGAACCTGGAAATGCTTTTGGGAGGCAAAGATAAAGATGTTAGGATGTGAGACCCTATTGTGGATAGGTTCAAGAGGGGATTGGTAGAGTGGAAAATAGATTTATTATCTAAAGGCGGCCACCTCAGTCTTATCAAAGAGTACATTGTCAAAATCTACTTGTAATTAATGAATAGGCATTGTACTTTTTATTTCAAAAAAGCTAGTTTGTCTTATTTTTACAATCTTTTGTCACTTGAATATATAGCAGTGATTATGCAACTGTTTTTAGTTATTTTCAAGGGAATATGTTATGTGTGTCTTTTTGCTAATAAAAAACACAATTTTCTTTTTGCAGTATCTTTGTTGTTTGACCATTAAATAAAGCGTGGCTCTCTACCATGTAATTTAGTTCTTGTTTCAATATATTAACCATGGGATTTATCATTTGTTTGAGTATGCTTCAGGCCCCACTATGTGTAGAAGGTTGGGATGAAGCCCTTCATGAGATAGGTAGAGTGTCATACGAGATGGTTCTTTCACCACAAAATGCGACATCATTGCTTAAAGCTGTGGAAAACTTGCCAGTTTTAGTTATAGCAGGTGCTGAGGATGCCCTTGTCTCTCTGAAATCCTCTCAAGCTATGGCTTCCAAACTTGTAAATTCTGTAAGTTCTCTTCACCACACTGTTATTATGCAGTCTAGAGCCTAATCAAACATCCTTTTCCTGGCTGTTTGAGGAATCATCAGCTCAGTTGAGTAGAAATTCTATTGAAATCTTTGGGAGTCCTTGTTGGTCCCCGTTAGTGGAGGCTGAAATATTGAACATTGAGAACGAACCTGAGAGTGGTTCTTGGGATACTACACTTGAATATCTTTAAATAGGACACATTGTAGGGGAACCCCTTGAATTGACACACAATAACTAATTTGATATATTTATGGCTATGCAGAGATTAGTTGCGATATCTGGATGTGGCCATCTTCCGCATGAGGAGTGTCCCAAGGCATTACTTGCAGCTATATCACCCTTCATAAACAGACTGATTCTTAGACCTGATTTGCAGAACCAATAGGTACCAAATTTTAATATAAAAATAGTGTTGCGATCTGTTGTAGAGGTCCTGTCTTTTTCTTTTTCTGAACTAGTTCATTCCAAGAGAAGAGACCAATCTCTTCTATTGGGTAATTTTGATGTCTTAGTAGGGTCATAGAGTTCTCTCACTTGTAACTTCTTTTTTCTCCTCTTTGCTTTTTAATCTTTTCTTCTTCTTTTTCCTCTTTCCTCTTAAGGTTTAAATTTTATTTATGCTTGGTTTGAACAGATTGTTATTTGCCACTTAAGTGAGTGGTAAATGACATATATTTGTAAAATTTTCAGGTTGGAAAATACATGCATGGTTTTATTTGATGACAGTTATCTAGCATTGCATTGTTGCCAGTGATCCTGATTCTCAATGCTGCTTAAGAATGAGATGGTTCTTGTCATATTTTGTGTCTTTTTTTTTTTCTTCCAGAGAATGGGCTTGTATACAGCCTTCATTTCTGGAAAAAATCAAAAGAAAAAGCCACGTGTTTTTTCAATGTACCAGTTATGGAAATTGTTCTTCAATGTACCAGGTATGGAACCTGTGACATTTTGTCCGCAACTTGATACTGGTAAGGCCAGAGCCAAAGGCTCTTACCAGTGGGCAAAAAACGTTCTTGAACAAGGATTCAATTAAGTGGGTCTTGGGTTAGGCTTCTTTTGGTTTTAAGACTTCTCAGCTTAAGACACATTGACATGCACATAACAAAAGGTCATGGCTCGAGAGTATGAAATTATACCATCGAGTTTAAATGGGTATAATAGAATGAAAAAGAACCGGCCTCTTGTTCGATACTAGCATTAAATCTCAGGGTCAAAACTGTATCTGAGAGGGATTGATATTCTCAACAACTGAAGCTTACAAAAAATTTAAGGTTTTAATGCCTAGAAGATGGGGATGGTAATAAGTTATGTTTGGAATGGATTTCACCAAACTTGAACCTAACCCGGTCACAATTACAGATATTCCGAGTCGCCCTGTCCACACCTTATCTCTTTCTTCTCAATTGACTATGCGAAAAACTTGAGGAAGCATTAAACAGTGGCTTAAATATATAACTTGCATTATATATACAACTTTTATATATAAACTAATGGTAAGTTTCGTTATATATACAACATATATTAAGGGAACATCAAAAGTGTTTTCAGTGAATTTTCTAAATATTAATTATTCAATTTTTATACTTTCAATTAAAATCTAATATATAATATTGAGATATGAGATCTCTAAATTTTGTTTTTAATACAAATTTCGTAAGTTCAATTTTCAAGCTTTTGTCCTTCATCACTTTTACCCAAATTTTTCTACCCTTCACTTTTTATGGCATAATTGGTGTTGTTTCTCTATCTTCTCATAATTGGTGGTCCTTTTTTACATCTTCTAGACGATTTTTCACGTTGCTCTTATATTTCTTTTATGCTATTCATGGAAGATTTGTTTCATTGGACATTTATTGAGGTTGTTTTACCTTTTTATAACCTTAATGTTTATCTTTATTTTCGTGTTCTTAAACGATAAAATTACTATTTTTTTACTCAAATCTATTTGTCGCTCAACAAAGACTTCATATATATTTTCGTTTTTGCTAGATTACTATTGAAGGAACTCTTTTGTGAGTCTTTTCAAACATTTTTCTAGCCATCTCTTCATATAACTCTAGGAACTCTTTTGTGCCTTACCATCTTAGATCCTCATCCTTGACAAAAAAAATGGTTTTTTTCTTCCCCAATTCCAATACTCTTCCTCAGGTTAAGATTATTTTTGAGAATTTTGTATTTCTGTAAATAACAAAAAATGAATAATGAAAAAATTGTTGATGATTTGAATGCTAAGAGGTTAACTTAGTATTCCATGTAGTTGCAGTCATGAATAAACGAGTGACTCTAAGATTTTTTATTGAAGAATTATTTGCTTAAATTCAATAAAAAATTTTTATAAAAAATCAACAATAATATCACTAGATTTTAGAGTTAAAAATTCAAAGTCTTTTTATCTATAAAAAGATGATGATATTTATATATGTTAGTTAGAAACTCTGATTCACATCTATTAGTTCATGTTATCTTAAATTTTAAATGTGAAAATAATTAATTATCTAAATTGTTACAAAAATCAGACCTTGAAACTGAAGTCATTAATTTTAAGTGTGCATGAACATCTGTCTTGTACATTAATAATTCTTTCTAATTCAAATATTTATGCCTAAATAATATTATGTATTGTGAGTGCCGTTGTTGTCAAACAACATTATGTATTACCTAGGTTCATAAATAACATTTAGCCATGGCCTTGAATGCTACCTAGTATGGGCCTCCATGTAGTTGAGCTACTTGACTTCTATACAAGGGAGCTCATCTTGTATACGAAGAATTGAGTAGCTTTTGTGTAAAGGATCTTATTCGATGTGAGTTTAAATGCTAGAGATTATAGACTTATCCATATCATTTATAATTCAACTTCGTTCACAATTTTCAATTCAAATAATCAAGTTTTCCATTTGTGGTTTGAATCTCAATTCTACAATTACAATTGAGATTAGAAAAATATGTTAGAGACCTCAAGTCTTGGTAGTAGAAATTCAACTTGCATATCTTCAATAAAATTGCAAATAAACTTCAACACTAGAAAAAAGCTATAATATCATTAACGTACAGTTATTTAATAAAAATTCGTAATTATAAATGAAAATTAAAATTTTTAATCGAGAATTATATATTAAAATAAATTACAAAATTCAAAACTGATTCATAAATCGAACGTTTAGTGTTATTAATATATAATATTTTTAAAAAAAAATTATCGAGAATTAAAATATTCTTAAAAAAAGTTGATAGAAATACTACATGCATTCATCTTAGCAGGCAAATGCTGAACAATAATATTCATTTCTAGTTGTCCTAAAAGAGTGCTAGAAATTCTCTTGCCTTGCCATAGCTTGGGACCATTCTTGCGTTAGGCTGTCAACTAATCAACCCAGTGCTTGTCTTATCCTCAAAGCAGGCAATTTCTTTGGTTTTCTTAGATATTGATTTGCCTGACCCTATTGGGTTGAGGTAGAGAAAGCACCAATCTATTATGACTTGGTGATTCTTGAGAGATTTTAAGGAGAATAATATACGCGAACCATCCATTTTTTTCCCTGTTCAAGTTGCAGTTATTGACAATTATCACTTATATGGTCTTTATTATTCAATGCCAAATGAGAGTATCTAACAAAAGAAATATTATTTTCAACACGCATACGAGTAAAAATTGAGTTGAAAGAGACAAAATTGAATGAATGGGGAGATGTGACGAAGGGGATTTGAGATCTCCCGCGGGCATACATTTACTTTGCGTGACGGAGAAAAGAGATGGTGAGTGCACGGTTTAGTTAAGGTGCTGAATATGTTTTCTTTTTCAAAGAAAATTCAATGGAAAGATTTATAAAAACTGTGAATCGCAAGTCTCAAATGTCTTTTGTCATTTGTATTTTTGGTTGATGGAGGGGGAGACCACCAACTTCAATCAATATTTTATTATTATTTTTTATGTGTAAGTAGTAAAATATTTGCAAATACTTTTTTTTTATAATTATTATTTTTGTAAAAATACTATTTGTTTACTTATAATCAAAAAAATTTATTCAAACCCTATTCATTTAAAAAATAGATAAATATTTATTTAAAAATAGATAAATACTTATTTTAAATTTAGAATATACTTTTTTTAGATATATTAAGAATTCTTTACACCTAATTAGATAATGTATCGAATCAAATTAAAAAAAAAAAAAAAGATTTTAGCCTTTGCCTATATTACAAATTGGTACAAGTTGAACCTAAGTTTACTTAATATTTAATTGTTAAGAACTAATTTCATATAATTAGTAAGATACATAAATAATTTATAATAATAGTGCATATAATGGGGGAGTGTAAGAACTTGAAATTCCCCCATTTCATATTGTAATTTGTTACAATTTTTTCAGTTTTCATGTTTCTTTGCCTTCATCAAGGATCTTGGTAGTTCTATCATCAACATTTCAGTCTATAATATCCTCAGGATAAACCTGCATATTCACAATACAGAAAGCTTATAAATATCATGTTTCCAACGCATTAGTTTCTGTAAATGTCATAAAAAGCAAACAACTTGTTATTCATTACCTGACCGCGCTTTTCATCACTGAAACTCACAGTTCTGATTTTAAACTCTCCTCTGCTAGTTGTTAATCCATCCAGTATCTCCCCACCATCAACTTCGCATTCCTCGGTTCCAAGACGAGGAGTTTCCCTGTCCTGCTAATTTAAAGTATTTTACATGAGCTAAAAGGGTTGTGATTTAACAAAAACAAAAAAAAAAAAGGAAAACATTTTTAATCATTTGGTTTTCAGCAATAGGGATGATGAGCATCAGATACCGCAGAGAGTCTTGGAGTTCCGGTGATCTCCTCGTATTCAGCAGCATCCAGTTCCCGGAGATGATGTGGAGTAAAAATCTTGGGGAGCAAGTACTGTCTTATGGTGATGAGGAGGAAGAAGGGCAAGGGAAACAAAATTCCAGCTATAGGAATCCATGTCACCCCAAAACAGACCAGCAAGTAAATGAACTGGAAGAGAGTAAACGCAACTATATATTTGTGTGGTACTGACTCCACAAAGGAAGCATGATCCTCCTCTAAGACCCTGCCAGACAGATCAAAAAGAAGAAAAAATTAGTCAATAACATATTGTTACTGTAAAAGCTCGAACTCACATTATTGATTCCAAAATCCTTATTTCTTTGATCAAATGCTGGTGAAATTAAACAGAAACTATGCTACTTCAATGCTACAAACTTGACTAACATAGATGTCCCATGAAGAGAAACTATGCTATTTGAGAAGAGCGTAGCTTACTTGTATCGCCTGCTTGGTGAAATGAAAAGCAGAAGCATTCTTTCCCAGAATTGATTACCAGGAAGACTGTCAATGGCCATGTAAGCAAAATATCCCCAAAGCACTGACGTTGGTATAAGCTTTACTGCTGGCACTGCACATACTGATGCTGCCACTAGGAGTGACTGTAACAGGTTGCTGACTCTCTGTTCATTGACTCTGACAGGCAGGTAAGGATCAATGTGCTTCTCAGGGTCAAACGTATGGTTTGCATTTTCACCTTCATTTTCACCTTTCATAACTGCATCCTTTAATTCTTGCAACTCTCTGACTACAATAGAAGTCGTCTCACCCTGTAACACATAGATGTCATCATGAAGAGTAAAATATTATAACTAATGCAAAATGTGAAATTGCATATGAACTTAAACGAATGAAGATGATGAAGGATATAGTTATCTTTACAACAAATGAATTATTTTTGCAAACTTGATTTGAAATCTTAATTTTGTGAAGTCATTCTCATTTGGCATGCAACCTAGATAATTTTCTGAAAATAGCGACTAAACAAATAAACAATCTTTTCTTTTGAATCATCATGCTTCATTTCATTTTTAAAGAATTTGAAACATATTGTAACATCAATTTACAATTTGTATGGAACTGATTATTCGTATTGAAACTATCAATAGATTTGTGAATTAATTCCACAGCTCATTTGTTCCAAACATACCAATAGATTCTTAAAAATGAGGTTTAAAGCTTCAAATTCAGGGATTGAGGTGATGATGATGGGTTAATTAAAACTTCTATAAGATATTATCTATGATTCAGTGTACTTACAAATGAACTGCTATCTATTTCGATGAACGCGGCTTGCATCTTGCCATAGATTTCTGAGTTGCTAGCTTCCTGCCTTATGCCTTCCTTGGCACTTTCTACCATCTTCTTTCGTATCAACTACAAAATAAAGGATGAATTAAACTATACATCTAAGTTGTTTTCGCAATTTTTTCTTATTGGTTCATGGCTTAGCTTTCCGCCTCCACTAGCACTCTTAATTGAAAATTTATGAATTTTATGCACCCACCTGTCTCTTGAAAACAGCAAGGCTCTTAGTGTGCATTGGGGACTGTGGGAGGACCCCATTTGAAGGAGGCAAACCAATCAATCCACAAAGCAATGTCTGAAACCAAGTGTTTAGCAATATGAATCATGAACTGAATTATAATATGAATCAAACAGCTAAAGTTGTGTCCTGTGATGTGTACCATAAATCCCAGCAACAAGATATCATAGTGGTAAGCTGAAGGGTTCTTAAGATTGAACTCCTTTTGCTGTGCCATTTGTGATGCAACACTGTGGTCGAAAAAGTAAAGCCCAGCAATCATCAGAGCAGGAATAAAGGCAGCAAAGATGTAAATCGGAGGCACCTTCCACATATCCTGCATTCGGAAGACATATCAGCTTTCACTGAATACTTCTCTATGGCTTCCTCTCCATTAACTGTTATTACCTTTATAACACTCCAATGGCCTACTGATGTAGACTCCCACGGGAGAGGGCTAAAGAGCCTTCTGGGAACACCTTTTGGAATTTCTTTAGGCATGCTAAATGACAATGCTGTCCACAATAAGACCATCAATGGCACACCATAGTCCGCAATGAAACTCCTAAACCAGCCTGTAATTATATATTCAACAATTTTCAAATTCGACAGGTTAGCTGCCTTCATTATTGCAGTTACAAAAGTACATTGAAATCTGCTTCACTAACCTGTACCATATTGCCATGACCTTGCTTTTCTACTCTTCAAAGCAGTATAGAGAAGGCCAAAAGTAAAAATAACCCCCAATAATCCATTAGTGTAAAGCCATTGAAATTGATACTTCTCTGATTTACTATCTTCTGCTTTTGGAATTTGAAACTCACTCACCATTCCCTGTGATTTAAACATTTGACAAGTGATCAAGCTTACTTTTATGAATTACCCATTCCATTAGCAAAAAGTTTTTCAAATTTCCTGTGAACTTACCTTGATGGCTTCTTGAATGAACAGAACAGCAATCAACATGCCAAAAAGCTCACCAGCAATTCTTGTAAATCTGTTGATAATAGTGCAAGCATTGAATATTGCTAGAAGAAACAGCAAGAGAGCTGTCCAGATGCAGACCCTGTCAAAGTAACAAAACAGTACATCAAGAACTTCAACCAAAATCAATACTACTTTCTATCAGAAATTCTGACAGTGATTTCAGTTTACCATCCAGCCCAAGCCAAGTACAGTTCCTTTCCCAAATCTTCCCTTCCTTTAGCAAAGTTGTACAAATAAGTGTACATTATAACAGTTGGTTCTGCAACTCCCAATATCAGAAGAGGTTGCCCGCCAAGGATCGAGTGTATGATGCCACATAGTGCTGTAGAAGCCAAAGTTTCCACTGTGCTCAAACTTCCATCTACAATCAGACAAAAGTCAGGTTACTTTAAAAATTATATTTCTCGAAAAAAAGATGATTTTCTTATGGTAAACTGCTAGCTAACCTGTATCTCTACTCAATTGTTCACCGAAAGCTATAACAGGAAAGGGCAGACGCAAAGAAGATGAATGTAGTTGGTGCCCAAATCCTTCAGTAAGAGGTAAGATAAATTAAGAATTTTCAAGTATTTGCTGCAATATAAGGCGGTTTTGAGTTCTAGATAACAAGAATATAGAAAAAAGTACCCAAGTCCAGAACGAATGCCACCAATCCAGTCCTGCTTGTAGCACAAGGCTCTTCCATGGAGATCTGCTGTAATACCCCAGAAAGGGGCTTTGAAGTTTTCCATTCCTAACTCTTAAAGAGAAGAAAGAAACTCACTAGTTGATTGCGTATTGAATTGTGAAAAGAAAATATCACAAGAAAAACACAAATCTCCTCCCTCTCCCTCCCGCCCCCATGAAAATGCCGTGAAACATAACATCTTTTAGAATCCTTTAGGAATGATTATTAGAAAATAAGAGAACATATAAATAAGAGGATGCAGGATTCTTCTTGTTTCATGAAATTTTAGTTCTTCATTAAATCATAAACTACAGAAAAGTGGAGCACAATGACTGATAGGATCTCCGGTCAACATGACAAGAAGTCTGGAAAAAATTACCGTACCAAACATTTACTAAAGAAAAGGTTAGTAACCTTTTCTTTTTATGTTTTTTATGCAATAACCAGTCCAAATAAATCAGTAAAGATTACCATCCAATTTACTTAAAGAAAAAACTCTTATTTGCAGAACCAAATCCATGGAGGCTTAGAAAAAAATACCGTTATAAATCTCAAATACCGAAAAGAATATATACAACACCTATCAATATCTACAAACAGAATCAAATAAATCACTGAAATCGATTCTTGAGGAGGCTCATTTATCCCTCCTTCTGATTGTCCATGTCCGAACAACATAAAGCAAAAAAAAAAAAAAAAAAAAAAGATGAAAGTCAAAGCGGACAATAACATTTTCTTCAACCAATCTGTATTTCACATTCAAAAGTCGAAATAGAGCACGAAAACAAAAATAATAAAGTATTGATACCACCATGCAAGCACAAGAAACAGAACTCCATCCAGTCTTTACTATCGGCCGTATAATATACACACGTACTTATATATATTATGATATAAATATGTATAGGTATATAACATTTACCAGAGACAATGGTGTCTAGATATTGCAGTGAGGAATAGAGGTTTCTGAAGGTTTTCTTTTTCTTCTTCTTCTTCTTCACTCGGCGGCTTGAGGCAGATGACTCAAAACGGTCCTTTAGTTTTTATAAGGAAGAATAAATCGCACAGCTCACAAACCTTATTACGTCTTAACATATTACCCGCGTCAATCGCGGGGTCCACAAGATGAGCTCCAATCCTCTACACACGCCTTAAGTGCAACCGCTTGTTCAATTTTCTTAGTGAAAAAATAAGAAGAGCCTAAAAATTGAAAATTAAAATAAATACACATATGAAAACTTAATAAACAAAAATTAAATAAACGCAAAAAAATAAAGTAGAAAAACCTCAGTAATCAATATAGTGTCAGATAAAATTTTAAATAGTTAATTAATTAATTAGTTGTAGTATCCAAATCCGAAATTTAGGCTGA